GCTTCTTTTTGAGACTGTAATAACCGTAGGTCAAGTCCTGAGGGAACACTGTTTGTCATGTTAGAGTCAGTAGACCTATTCAGTGGTGAAGAAGACCCACTGGAAAGATGCTTGTCGGCGAATCCAATCCGACTGGCGTTGATGCCCCTTGCGACCTCCTTTCCGACTTGATGTGGGTATCGACGACCAATCCTGAAAAGTGTACAATCAGTGGGGCTCGACGACCAATCCTGAAAAGTGTACAATCAGTGGGGCTCGAGAGTTTGGAATACGGTCGCATGACATGTCCAGGGATGCCCAGCGGTTTTCAACCTCAGGCCCGACAGAAGCGCCTACAAAGAGGTTGAACTTTTTCTTGGAGTTTTCTTGCATCTTGTTCTCCGAGTCTTCCGCCAAGTCAGCCATTGCCTGACAATCATAAGCTTTATAGTCGAAAGATGGGTGAAACATACCGTCGGGACAAGTTTGGGATATCCAACGCCAGTGAACCCAGACCATCCAATCTATAGAGCTCGTTTAGGCGAGGGAGTTGATGTAATTCATAAGTACATACATAGTCATCGTTCTGTCAAAGTGTGCAATGAGATGGTGTCCAAAGAAGTCGGAAAAATAAGGATCACCTTGAAAAGCGGAGCCAAATCCCTCGGATTCGCGAGTTTGCTCAGATAAGCTGGTCGACGAACACGTTCTCGGAGAGCTGCTGACGCGATAGCGGGTGCATTGCGAAGAAGGGCATGGTGGGAATTGCGTGAGGCATTCCCCACTGCGTCTATAAATAAGGTAATGAATGACGCAATGGAGTTGTAGAGCGGCCAGCTCGAGTTTCTAAGGATCTTCCGACCGGCCCTACCCCACTCCTCGAACTTCCTCCGACACCTACAAGCTGGAGCGGGCATCGGACGTGGGCTGGGAGTGCTTTTCAGCGCCATTGTTTGAGGCTCTCAGGGACAGTGGGAAAATCTTGTCACGGTGTGATTGTATTGCGGCCTTTAGACTTGAGCGTTATTCTACTGTTCTCCGAGCTCTCGAGATCTAATGCCAGCGACAACCTGCAGAGTACCAACAGTTACATAGCCCAACCTCATCTTCTTCCCCGACGTTTCAATCTTCTCCCTCGGGCCTCGTCTCGCTCCACGCATACCAGCTACATTCGACGACAACACACCGGACAGACCAACGTGAGGAGTGGTACCTACCACTTTTATGATAAAACCTGGGCATTTGCCTGCACAGTCTTTTCAATCCCCCCAAGTGAAATATGAAATGAAATGCCTAGGCTATTTCATTCTTGCTTGGCAGCTATTTCATTCCTACCCACCACATTTTTCATTTCTCCTTGACAATGAAATACATTTCATTCTTTTGCCTGTGCTTTTTCATAACTTTTTCATTCTTTGCCAACTTTATTTCTTTTCTTTTCATTCTTTGCCAGTATCATTTCATTCTTTTGCCTGCGCTTTTTCATAAATTTTTTCATTCTTTGCCAGTCCTATTTCATTCCATTGCCTGCACCTTTTCATAACTTATTATTTCATTGTTTGCCATGTTTAAGGTTAGGGTTGCACTTTAAAAAAATGAAACTCATTTCATTGCCTCTCTAAGCCTTTTCATAACTAAACACACATTATTTGTTTGTAAATAATAAACATATGTATTCTCAAATTAATAGCTATAGTTTGACCTAATCAACCCCTGGCTTGTGATCTTTACATTTGTTTGTATTTGAGGCCATAATCTAACTTAATTGAGCAATAAACATGTAAATTGAGGCAACTAAAAGATCACATGTCTTATATTTTGATCCCATCATAACCAAACAAATATATAAGTTATGAAAAAGCACAGGCAAATGAATGAAATAAGACTGACAAAGAATGAAAAAATTTATGAAAAAGCGCAGGCAAAAGAATGAAATGATACTGGCAAAGAATGAAAAGAAAAGAAATAAAGTTGGCAAAGAATGAAAAAGTTATGAAAAAGCACAGGCAAAAGAATGAAATGTATTTCATTGTCAAGGAGAAATGAAAAATGTGGTGGGTAGGAATGAAATAGCTGCCAAGCAAGAATGAAATAGCCTAGGCATTTCATTTCATATTTCACTTGGGGGGATTGAAAAGACTGTGCAGGCAAATGCCCAGGTTTTATCATAAAAGTGGTAGGCACTAGTGACGTGAGGTGGTGACGACCATTTAGCAAGGGTCGGCGAGCGAGGGCGATGGCTTGGTTTCAGGCAATGGCTTGGTTTCAGGCGATGGTGATTGACTGGTAGGCGACGGACGACACATCGACGGCTGCTTGGATATTTGGTAAGTCTTCTACAACTTTACAGAATTTGTGGCCGCTCACGTACCCTACTTCAAAAGTCACAGCGACCCCCTAGAGTTCAAATGAAGGTAAGCAGACGAAATGACGCTTATGAGAGAAAAACGACTTACGTCCGCCAGTAGGACGTCCCGAAGAACAGTACTCCGAGGTTACGACCACAAGCCAGATCTCCGCCGTGATGGTGAGGCAGTGCGAGAACGTGGGCGTTGGGACGACGATTGGTTGGAAGCAAATGGGAAGCAGGACGGGAAGCTTTGTTTTGGCTTCAATACAGGTAAGTTGACGCAGTGACTGTGCGTGAAACATTTCACATACGTTGGTAGCCAGAACCTTCCCAACTTTTGGGTTCACGGTCGCACATTCTCCCCGGGAGATACTACTACCTCACCGATGCTTTCAAGCGGCGCGGACGAAAGGATTTATGGAGTCAACGAGGACAGTTGCCATGTTGTGGTGGTCGGAGAGACCGATAGCGCCTTTGACATTGCGTAAGTCGTTGGCAACTGAACTTTATCATAACTAAAATACCTCTTATTGTAGAACTCACATGCTTCGTTGATACTCCTGAATGGTTGTGGGCAAAGGGATTGACAGTGGGCGCTTGCGGTCGCAGGGTAGAGGCATACATTGACGAAGAATCCATTCTCCCCAACTAGAAACGTCAAGTAAGTTTTCTTCCTTGATCTACGGGTTAAACGACGGCACTGACCTGATATCGAGATCATCCAATAAAGCCTAGAGTGCAAAAAAGGAGTCAAATGCAGGTAAGCCGACGAAACGGCACTGATGAGAGAACAACGACTTACGTTCGTGAGTAGCACGACGACAAGCGAGATCTCCGCCGTCACGAATGACAACATAAGCGAAAACTCCTACTGCAGGACGGTGAGGCGGTGCGAGAACGTGGGCGTTGGGGCGACGATGGGTTGGAAGCGGCTGGGAGGGGAAGCTCTCTGCTATCACATTCAGTAAGCAGTCTATAGCACCATTCCACTATTCAAAGTCACTAACCTTTTGTGCAACAAAGCCGCCGAGTTTTCGCTTCAATGCTGGTAAGTCGACGCAGTGACCGTCCGTGAAGGATTTGACGTACCTTCGTAGCCAGAACCTCCCCAACTGTTGGGTTCACAGTCGCACGTTCTCCCCGGCCAATATGACTTCACCGATGGTCTTAAGCGGCGCACACGAATGGGTTCATGGAGTTGGCCAGGACAGTTGGCATGTGTGGTGATCGGAGTCCTGAAACGACGAGCGAGCACATCAGCGACGTGGGGAGGTGAAGCAGATCGGGGGACTCACTGTAGGCGGCATCCAAGACGACTTTAACGACGGGCGGAGGACGACCACGATCACTGCAGAGGACAATAAGCGCGAATAGGATGATGGGGGGCGGACTCACGATTGAGGATAATGATGACGAGCGAGTTAGAGTTGTGAGAGGTGGAGAATAGGTGGGGGAAGAGGGAGGGAGGAGGAGGAGAGGAGGCTAGGAAGGTAAGTTGGGAAATTGGATGCTCGAAAACCTAGCTAACCCAGCCCTTTTATACGTTCAGGGCGTGACTATTGTAGCCAAGGTGGTTACAGGGTCTGTCAACATTGCAAATCCAGAAACTTGACGTGGAGGAATGGGTCTGGTACATTTTGGTTAGTTCTATTTTGTCTTCTAATTGCCGGAATTCATCTCCACGAATATCTTACATACATAGATATTTTTTTGAGCCGATCTGGCGTCCTGAAACCCCCGAAGCGTAGTTTCTTCTACCCGCCGATTTTTCATAAAGCTATGTACCTCGGCTTGGACTGAATGATAGGACTTGTACATTAGCCATTGACTTCAGAATATCTACTATACCCCACTCCATAAAATATCATACGAAGGTACACGAATGTTCATGCATAAATCGGCGTTGCCTATCGTCCAGCACCAGAAAATCCAAAAAGGAAAAACAAAGATATATCGAATACATCACCCGAGTAGGACCCTGGCACGTAAAGCTGTCAGTTTCAAGGAGAAACTCCAAGCGCGGCGTTTTGAAGATATGGCAATGGGGAGGAGGAGGACATGGAACATCGACGATCAGTATTTGCAGGCACTTCGATACCGAATAGAACCCTCACACGTAATTTCATCTGTTTCAAGGAGAAGTTCCAAGCGCGATGTATTCCTGAACGGATGATGGGGAGGAGGAGGAGTAGACCATAGTCCCATAGTCAGTATTCCGTGACTTGCACCTTCAATCTTTGAGCCATACTTACTGACTATGATATAAAAAAGCAATGATATCCCTTCCTGAATACTTATTTGTGATGAAGCGCAGCCAACAGGACTATAGGAGAGTTGGGTGTTGTGCATCGGGTGCGCATACTCCCACTGACAATCTTCTAGCACCGAAAATTCAGGTACAATGACACAGGTATATAATTCGGAATAGAACCCTGACATATATATCCTTCAGTTTCAAGTCCATGTTTGAAGCGCGATGTGATTGGAAAGTAAATGCTTTCACAACTTTTTTCTCGGTACTTGTTCATGGACATATAGCTGGGCTTCTACTGATTTGTTTACTGAGAAATCAATCATCCTCCTTTTTTTTAATTTCGGAAAGGGGCCCCCCTTTCTGTTAAGATGCTTGGGTAGATTTTGCGATCCTTTATTGGCTGCTCGTCGCCGAACCGCTTCCGCGGTTCGGCGCACGACGATGACAAAAGCGATGCAGACGTACAAACAAAGCATTCGTGGGCGCCTTTGAGGGCCCCAGAACGATGACGAAAGCGATGCAAACGTCTTACGTAGCGGGCATAATCGATAATCACTGTAGCGCGCCTAAAAGCACAAGCCCTGGCGATTAAATAAAAAGCAAATGAATTTTATAAAAAGTGATTTTGGGATCGTTTATTGCTCGTCGCGAGGCTAGATGATATTCATTTTTTCCAACATAACCAGGTACCCCTCGTGCTCCTCCTCACCTTTCAGATATTCCAGGACTTTACCCCAATCCTCCACAGAGTACAAGAATTTGAGGTCCTCAGGCATTTTTTCGTCTCTCATAAACATCTCTTCAATGCAGAATTTGATGTCAGCAAGATCAGTCTCTCGCTTTTTGTCTTTACATTCTCCACGCTCAGCCAAAGTTCTAATTTTGTCGGCAAGGAGGAGTTGATAGTTGGCGTACGTGAAGTTTGTTTTTGGGTCCGTCAGGGAATATTTCAAAAGCAAGGGGATATGTTGTGCTCGTCGGGTGGCAACGTCGGCCTTGACGGCCTCCTTTGGATCCAAGTAGGTGATTTTCATTATTGAATTATCATCGTCGAAAGGAAAACGGGCTTTAATCATGGGATCCTCGGGGAATTCGGGGAAGGATAAGACATTAATGTCGACATCCTAAGGAACGAGTAAGTTTTCCATTGCAGCATCAAGTGACAAGATTCCTACCCTAGTAGTGACACGCTTACTCCCTAACATATGAGCG